ACGAACCTGGTCTTCTCCTACAGCAGGAGGGGTTTCGCCCTCCCGGTCCCCCTCATGCCATCCATCGACTTGGGAGGGGTGAGGAGAGAGGTTGCCAGTGAAGACTGAGGCAAAAAAGTTGTTGAGTACCTCAGCCTTCTCCTCATCTGCTGTTACCAGCCTGCCGGTCTCGCTTATCAGCGGGGGTACACTCTCTTTAACCTTCCTTTTCCGGCTGATATACCTGTAGAATCCCTTTTTATTATTCTTTGCATCCCTAGCCAAGTTAAGCTCCAGCTGCGCCTTCGCCTCCCTGACCCCATTCCTACACAACCGGACCACTTCCCTATACTCTTCCCAGGATGCCTGTCCCTGCTTCCACTGCCTGTGCAGTTCCCTCTTCCTCCTTAGCTTGACCAGCATCTCCTGTCTCAACCACGCTGGTCTCTTCCCTTCTTTGCTTGATTTCTTACACCTAGGGATCGATAGCTCCTGCGCTCTGTGGACCACTTCCTTAAAGATCTGCCAGCTCTGTTCTGCTCCCCTGTCCCTGAGGGCCGTTTCCCAGGGAGTCCTACTGACTATCTCCTTGAGGAGCTGGAAGTTGGCTTTTCTAAAATTCAGGGTCCTGACTATACTCTTTGTCCTTCCCATTTCCCTCAGGAGCGTGAGCTCTACCAGCGCGTGATCACTGCAGCCCAGGCTGCCTCCGATCTGGACATCTCCGACGAGCTCGCTTGCATTGGTGACCACCAGGTCCAGTATCGCATCCCCTCGGGTAGGGGTGTCTATTACCTGGCTTAAGAAGTTGTCCTCAATGCATTCGAGAAACCTGCTGGATGGCCTACATCTTGCCGTGTTGGTTTTCCAGCAGATGTCGGGGTGGTTGAAGTCCCCCAGCAGGACGAGGGCCTGCGAGCGCGAAGCCTCCCGGAGTTGGAGGAAGAATGCTTCGTCAGTCAGCTCCTCTTGATCTGGCGGCCTGTAGTAGACACCAACCACCAGGTTCCCTTTGTTGCCTCTCTCTCTGATTCTTACCCATAAGCTTTCGACCTGCTTGTGGCTATTCTTCAGTGACAGCTCTTCGCACTGTAATGATTTCTTGATGTAAAGGGCAACGCCTCCGCCCCTCCTTCCTCGCCTGTCCCTTCTGAACAGCCTGTAGCCATCAATAGCTACATTCCAGTCAGGGGATTCATCCCACCAAGTTTCCGTAATGGCAATCACGTTGTAGCTTTCTAGCAGCACGATAGCTTCCAACTCTTCCTGTTTGTTTCCCATGCTATGTGCGTTTGTACAGAGGCATCTCATCTGAGCTGTCGGCCTCGTCGCCTTCACAGCCGAACACCCCTCGTTTCCTTTGAGGTGCTTCACAGGCTTTTCCTTGTTGGTTCCTACTACCTCAGGAGCCTCCGGCTCACCTCCTCCAGACTTCAACTTTGCTGCAGCGCCCCTGACACGCTGCTGGGCAATGGGTTGAGGGCTCATACTAGCCCCCAGTCCCTCTAACCCTTGCGTATCATCCCCTAGCCTGTCGCTGGCAAGCCCGATAGGTTACCCTTCCCCCTTCACATCTAGTTTAAAGCCGTTGTGTTGCTGTATGAGTAGAAAATAATAGTTTTCTTCTCTTTATCATTCAGCATTTCATAGTCTGTTATTGTATCCCACCTCAGCCATCTCTCTTCTACATTGGTATATGTATTTTTGTATATTTGGCCTTCCCTCATTTGTATTATTCTAGTTTCTTGTAGCCTGATTAAGGCTGTTGCAGGTCCAAATCCAGCTATACCACAGTAAAGGCCCTCTCAGATCTGCTGGCAGAGCTAGATGACCCTGAATGTTCCCTCCTATTTCAGTTGTAATAAGACAGGTAACTTTGGTAGTTTAAATAAGCAGCTTTGGCTCACCCAGTTCATTTTGACGGAAACTGCTAAGGAAGTGCTCAAAAAAACAGCTCTATGGTTGCACCTGAGGAGGCAGGAACCTCTGGTGGAGAAATATTAATGACCAGTTGGGAGCGTGCTTTTGGGTTGGTAACATCTTGTGCTGGCAGAGCTGTTGGCAGAGTATGCAGAGGTGGTAGGTACATAGTCACTTCAGTCCAGCATAAACCTGAGATGGTGCTAAAAGAATGGCAAAATTCATCAGTGATTTTTTTAATTTTTGTAACTGTGGTTGTTAGCTGGATGAGGTCCCTAAACACACTGCACAAGTGCTAGTTCTCTTGTGAGAGAAAGGACAGGAATATATACCTGGATAGCTGCATGACTGAATTGGCTTAAATTGATTTTGAAACCCAAAGTTGGGCCTTGCAGCTGAGTGGAACAAATACCTGTCTGTTTATAGACAACTTCTTTGCCTGGGGTGCTAGGAAAGAGTCTTCTCAGCTGTGTTGGTGGCTTCATACAGCTGTTGTATTCTCCTTGTAGTAGATTTGGAAGGGCAAAGACAAAACCATTCATGAGCCTCTACACTGCTGCCTATTGGAATTGGTCTATGGCTCCTCCTAATTTTGCTGTTTCTTTCCCAGGAACTCCCTGCAGCAAATTCTGCTCCTGTGTACAGGCATTACAGTCATGGTGCTACTCTCGCTCACAACCGAGTGACCTCTGCGCAGACCTCATGATGCCTCCCAGAGCCACCACAGTGACTCTGAGCTGTTACAAAGCAATAAGGAACACTAATGTTTCTTCCTATGTGTGCATGTGCAGATCTGGCTGCTAGTATGAGAAGCAGGTGAGAAAGAGGTCTGGGTGTGCAGGACTTCGTTCCCTGGCTCTCCTATCCCTGTTCTGCTAAAATCCACACATCAGGGCTTCCGGTTTTTTTTGTTTGTTTGTTTGTTTTTATGGAGCAAAAGATATAGTGAACAGAAACAAACTGAACAACTGCTGCACAGCGAACAATGGACAATGTTTCATTCAGTTCATTCTGATGGAACTGAACCTCCCAAGCTCTTGTGTGAAAACAACAGGGGCAATTCCTGTAGCTGATGAAGAGGACTTTTCCTACCACTCTAAGGGCTGGAGGCAGAACAGGGATGGTGAAGCAACAATAAACTAACAGCTTTAGCCAGGAACTCCCTACCCATGAGAAGCTACGGTGCTATGAGACAGAGGGGAAAGGACCCTTTCCAACTTGATCTCCAGCTTTTCATTGACATCACTTGTTCCTAAAGGTAGTATTAGCCTCAGCAGTCCACCTCCTTGGTCTATTTTGTATTTGTTTATGTTGAAATCGAGCCAAAAGCTGGAGGCACTTTAGGGTAGGTCACTACAATTAAATGGCTCAGCTTGCAGATTACTTGCCTCAGCCCTAACCACTCCAATAGCCAGCACAGCCTGTTTATCTGAAAAATGGTCAGTAAATGTTTCCTCTGTTGCCATACTACCAGCTTACCTACACCTGGAAGGAAAGCCATGTAGTTGTTGTAACTGAGCTCCCTCTCCTCATAACCACTAGCTGAACATGGCACTGAGCCTGCTCACCCACCACCAGACCCACACCACGTTTCAGAGTTCTCTTGAGGCGTAGCGTGTTAGCCCTGCCTGGCGTGCGACAGCAGCCCTAGACTGTCATGCCAGATGTCTGGACAGTTTGGGCAATAGTTGAACACTACAGCATGGTCAGCAGCTGACAACCCTGGTTAGCTTTTCCTCTGTTCAGTGGAGACTATTTAAGAGCATGCTATAACCAAAAATATAGATGGTAGCCTATTTCTGGGCTTCTTACCTCACAGTGGAGTTAGTCTGCTGGGGATGAATGGATAAGAAATAATAGTGAAAGCCCTTAGAGGAAGGGACAGCAAATAATACTGGAGAGAGGGGGAAATGGGAAGCGTGAAACTGCTGGTGAAAAGATTTTTAAAAATGGGTCTCAAAAAGCTGTGTCTAAGTAAGGAGAAAGGGATATGAAAGGGTGACAGTAAGTATGCTTCAAGAAGAGTTTTCTGTTGTGTGACGCTTGGGATAAAATTTTTGGCAATTTGAGACCAATAAGAAGAAATTACATTTCTGGGATGTTTGCCCACATTTCAGCTCACGGGGCTGACCAGGCCATCGTTCCACAGGGATGTGTTGTTGCCACAGGGATGTGCAGAATTACTAGATGATCCCTTCTGCAGAGCTTATCCTCGCTTTGCTTAAATCTGTTTAAAAACATGTCTAATTGAACTAGCAGAGTCACTGGGCACAAAACAGTTGCCATGACGTGAATTGCACCAACTCAGCTCTGTCTTTAAACAGCTTTTGTACATCAGTACAGCTTGCCAGTCTGCACACGGCCTTGTCAGGAAGACTCGTCCCTTGAAAGGGCAATTTGGGTCAGAGCAACGAGACAGGTATGCTGCCCACAGCAGAGGCATTTACTTCCCTAAGAGATTCCTGAACTGTTGACACAGTTCTTTTTTTATGACAGCTCCTGTCCTACTTTTCAGAGAGCACTGAAGAGCTCATGCTTGCAGTTCTCTCTGCCCAGGAACTGCTGTCTAAAATTTTTTCAGCTTTCCTTACCCCAGGATTACATCAGTAACTAGTTTCACTGCAACAATGAGGGAGGCTTAGTGCAATTTTTTTTTTTATTCCTCTTTAGAAAGTTGCCTTCCTTTGCCAACTACTTCCTCTATCATTTGATTGTCACGAAGTCTGAAGGTAGCATCCACTTCCTGCTTTCCTGGAAGGACGATTAATCTGATAGCCTGCAGGGATGGGGAGAGGATGCTAACCCTCTAGTTCTAGCTTTGGGGTGTTTTTTTCTCTCTCCCCCTCGTCCCCCTTCCCCAGGGACTGAAGCTAAGCAGACCCTGTAGTAGGGCTCTGGAGGAAGTGGGTTTGCACAGAAAGATGTGCCTGCTGTTTCCCAAGATGTCTTTCTCAACATGAGGCTGGCATTTGAAGTTGAAGCATTGCCAGGTGAGTGCCCAGGAGCTGGTGTTGTTGCATCAGCACTGAGCCTTGCCAAGCCTGAAAACCACAGTCAGGATTTTGTGCTCAGCGTTCAGGAATGCGAAGTGGATGACACTGAAGAAAGAATTTGTGAGCTGTTTTTCTTGGCTGCTACCCACAGGCCTGGAGAGTCTGCGGTTCTTGGGAAGATACCCTGGTAGGAGGTAGCCCAGGGCTTGTGGGAGGGAGGGAGGGGCTTGTTAGTTTTCCACTACATCAGCCCTGGGGCTGAGAATGGGAGAGCCTTGGGAGGAAATGGAGCATTGCTCCACCACATTTGTCACTTTTGGAAATGCAGAGAGAATCGTATTTTCTAGCTCTATTTTTTCAGCTGCTCTTATGCATTTTCCCCCTTCATCTGTATTGGTCTGCTCTGCATGGAGACAATAGAGATGAAATAAATGGTTTTCCATGTGGGTTTGTGTTTTTTTTGTTGAAGCTACTACTTTTCATTGAATTACAAATTCAATTCGGATTTCATTTGAATTACAGAGCATTATCTCCGAGTTAGTCTAGAGACTCACGAGCAAGCTCATCGGAGATGTCAAGATCGGAGGCAGCCTGGGCAGCAAACTTCCAACTCCTCAAGGAGGTAGTCAGAAGGGAAACGGTCCTCAGGGACAGGGGAACAGAACAGAGCTGGCAGATCTTTAAGGATGTGATCCACAGAGCGCAAGAGCTCTCGATCCCTAGGTGTAAGAAATCGGGCAAAGAAGGGAAGAGACCGGCATGGCTGAGACAAGAGATGCTGGTCAAACTAAGGAGGAAGAGGGAACTGCACAGGCAGTGGAAGCAGGGACAGGCATCCTGGGAAGAGTACAGGGACGCGGTCCGGTTGTGTAGGAATGGGGTTAGGAAGGCCAAGGCGCGGCTGGAGCTAAACTTGGCTAGGGATGCAAAGAATAATAAGAAGGGATTCTACAGGTATATCAGCCGGAAAAGGATGGTTAAAGAAAGCGTACCCCCGCTGATGAGCGAGACTGACAAGCTGGTAACAGCAG